TCAACTTTTACTATGGGGGGTATATTGACCTAAACAGAACACTTAACGTTTTCTTATACAGTTTTCAATATTACTACTACTACTACTTACTTAGTACTTAGGTCTACTCTCCTTTATTTGTAAGTACCAATGATATCATTTCACATCCAATGACAATAAGTAGTGTCTAACCTACGGTTGAAATTTGTTACATGCTTAATTATTCACTGTGCTCTTAGATACATATTATATGCATTGTTTCTGTACACAACTCTTTGTGAATTGTATACTGGATAAGTATTTTATCATTTCACATATTGTCTTATTGTTAGCAATTTATACAACTAACTTTGTTTGTACTACAGTGTAACATATTTACTACTATATTCTTCTTTTTATTGTTGGAGGTTAAAATTCTGTATTAAATTACCCTTTATTTTTATTCATTTTGTTAAAATGATAAACTGTATATCCACTCCTACGAAATAGGTAGTGTAAGTCACAGTTAACTCTTTGTTGGGTATTTACAACCAATGAACAAAATACTACTACTACTACTACTACTACTACTACTTTTTTTTTTTTTTTTATCTGAATCGTCGAACCGGGGGGAGGACTGCCTATGCTTTGCTTTCCCGCCGGTCCGCCATCGTTTATTTAAATTACATAAAAATATTAATTACATAACAGCATCTACATAAGTTACAATAAGATAATACTAATATTTACAGTAGTTACACATCATTTATACAATATATTTTGTAGGATTTAATCAGCATCCTGTGCTCTGTTGTCATGCTGATCCCTTTGCCTCTGTTGGTCCTCTTTTTCCTTGATACCCATGATCCGTGTAATGTGACGCTCCACTGCGTGCCAATTTTCCCGGCTAGCTCCCGGTCTTGCTTGCTCACCAACTTCGAACTCCAGATCCATTAGACTTCTTGCCCATCGTCCACACCTGAAAAAAGTGTGTTCCGCGTCGTCAACCGGGTCCCCGCATGACCTGCAGCCTGGACTGTCAACTTTGCCGAATCTGTGAAGATAGGCTTGAAGGCAGCCGTGCCCCGTCAGGAACTGGGTCATGTAATAACCCGTTGCCCCATGGGCACGACTTGCCCATCTGCGTACGTCAGGTACTACTACTCTTTTATTCTTGTACTTCTCTTTTTCTCCTATTTATTTTTACCTACTTATTTATAAAATTACTTAAACGAGTATAACATCTATACTGATACACACGACATTAATTCCTGGTTAAACAATAATTATATTATGCGTTGGAAATAAAATACTCTAAACTCAACCAAACTTTTAGGTGTTCGGGGATATCCAGATGGATGTGGTGGAGGCCGTGGAAGTGGCAGAAGTCCAGATGGTAGTGGTCGAACTACCCAGAGTGCGTGCGCCAATGATTTTCCGGCAGGCGGGCGTGACACATCCGCTTCCAGAGCGGCACGACGCGGGCGCGTTGGACAGGGTCTGCAGACATTGTTACGCCCGCCACTTCAGTGAAGAGCAAACGTCCCGGGGTCACTTCTCCACGTGTTGTAACAACGGCCAAGTGGTCGCTGCAGGACAACACGCGTTGTTGCCCGTTCCCTATTTAATTCAGAGTTTATTTATAGATGATTCACAGGATGGCCGTAGATTCCGGGCGGACATTCGGCGGTACAACAACGTTCTGGCATTCGCTGCGTTTACCTGCGACGCAAACAATATTTTCCTTCTGATATTCCTGTAAATTGCATTTATATTAATTAAATTTATTTATTATACTATATTAGTCAATTGCCTTGTTACCTTCAGACTTTTGAAGACGTCATAATTCGTCACACACTTTGGTACTTTTTTTAAAATATTTTACAATGGATCTCACTTTATTTAATAAATCAGGTACTCCTCCAGTTTTAACTTTTGTTTTGGGATTTTCTTCCTGGGTTTTGCAAATACTTTTTTCGACTATCAAATTCATAGTATGTGCTAAACACGACCAATGACGCTTTTCACCAAAATAATCAACTACCGCTTTTTTATATTTGCCCCACTATCTGTTACTACAGCCATTACTTGATTTTGGTCAATACCCCAATCTAATAAATGATTTATGAACACTTCAACCAAGTAATCTGCAGTATGACTTTCATGAAGTTCTGTGACTCCAATTACGCCTGGAGTAAAGAAAATTATTTTTATATAAAGAAATAAAACTAGAAATTATGAAAAATTACCAGATTCAATGTTAGTCCCTTCAATAAAATGTACAGTTACACCAATAAAACTCCGCATTTGCATTGTTTCAGTCCAAATATCGGTTGTAAGAGTAACATTTTGGACTTGTGCAAGTTTGTCACGAAATTGGGTTGACAGCACACTATATTTTTCATCTACTCGTCTTTTAATTGTATCACGACTTGGAATTTTGTAAAGTGGGCATAGCGTTTGAAGTAAATTCCGAAAACCATCACTTTCAATCGTGTCAAATGGGACATTTTCTTTGCAAAAATAATATACTATTGCATCGGTTATCTTAACAGTATTTGAACCATCAGCTACATTAATAATATTATAAAACATATTATTTTTATAAGAGTATTGCATTTGTTAATTAATTTTCTATTTCATATTAATAATTATATTATGTACAAATATAATAAATTAGTGTTGATTAATGATTAGGTACCTGCAGCGAACGAAGAAATGTTAGAATACATATTTGGTAATGTTTGCTGCGTTTTTTTTATAGGATTCGGATGTTCAATTGGTGTATTATTATCCACCTCTATTGACGGTGTAGATTTTACAGGTAATGGATCATCAATATTGTTCTCATCTATTTATAATTTATAAAATTGTAATTCGAAAAATTTCAGTCAATAGGGGGTGTACGGTACACCGTGTACCTATATTTGTATCTATGTATCTATGTATTTAATTTAAAAGTAATAAAATATTTTTTTTTATATAAAAAAAGCGATACTTATCTTCATTTACTTTTTCTAATATTATTTTTTTTGTGTTCATATTTTGCAATGTCGGTTGCAGTTTTCTTTTTTTTTCATTAGAACCCCGTCCTTTTTTAGCTTCCGTTATTAAATGGCTTCTTAAATTTTGAACACCACCATTTGGTGTTTTATAAGTTTTAGTACAAATATTACATTTGTACATATATTGACTTAGTTTTGTAAAATATTGGAGAATACGCGGAGAACTCCATTTTGAAATTTCATTTATGTCAGTTAGGTTTAAACTTATTTTTAAAATAATGCAAAAGAGAAACTTATATATTATTATACACAGTGCGCGACAAAAAGGTAAAGGCACAACGTTTAATACTAAGATAATTTATAGATTCTATATGTACTGGTCAACTTCGGGATATACCAAAATGATAGCAATTTTATCTTATTTTCTTGATTTATTAGATTTTGTTGCGACAAAGTCATAAAGGCAGTCGGTTTCGTAGCGTTTGAAACGGTTGTATGATCAAATTATCTATTTCATACAGTAATAATATTGTCGTATATACATATATATTATCGTGCACTTTGTGGTTGGGTTGTAAGTTATAATATTATCGTACATATACATATATATTATCGTACACTTTGTGGTTGGGTACATATTTTTTTTTTTACTATATCTATTTATATTCGATGATAGACCTGTGCTAATAATGGTAGTTTGTAAATATATTATATATCGATTTTTATCGATGTTCATCGATAAATCGAAACTAAAATATCGAACACACAATATCGATGAAACGATAATATCGATATATTTTGCGCATCCCTATACGTATGTCCATGACGAAATAACAAGGTATGATCACAACTTTGTGATACGCATTAAATCTCTATTATCAGAAATAAGAGTGGGAGTCATCCTCGGCATTTCATTGGTCCTTGATATTATGCTGATAAATTATAAATTATAATCGATGAAAAGTTTTAAAAAATATAGGTAGGTATGCGTAAGTTAGTATTATAACTTATTTAATCATGATTTATTATAATAAATAATAATTATACTATTTAGTGTAAATTTAAATGTTTTAATTTATTGAAGATGTATTATACAAATACAATATAATATAATAATATAATATTAAACTAATTTCATGGCTATTTGATAAATTTTTGTTTTTTTCGTGTTTCTACTTTTTTTTTTTGATATTTATCTGAAATTAATTGTTTGTTAAGATTATTCATTCTTATGAATGTCTGTGTCCTAACTAGACAGTCAATAACTTCTTGCGGGATAGACAAATATTGAATTATTGGTGTCAATCTATTAATCATATTTTTCATTATCCCTTTACTTTTTGAAATATTATCACCATTCACTAATTTAAATTCAATTTCAAGAAATTTGATTGCTGCCATCAAATTGTTTGATGGTAATTTCAAACCACCTCTTGACTTGAAATTAGTCCAACAGTCTTCTGCAACATCACCATCATCTGTTTGTTTTATCAAATCTGGATATTTGCTGGCAAACCGATTACAAATATAGCCAGCTACATATTGAGCACTATCCTCTTCAAGCTCATTAAAAGGTTCGTTTTCTGCCATCTAAATCACATTAATTATTAATATTTACTATGTTTGATTGTGTGACTTAGTTATGTACTAAAATATTTTTAATTTACTTCAAATTCTCTCAGGAGATCAAAGCACTGTTCACTGATCATTGGTGTACATTCACTACCAATATTTGACTGTACGTTGGCTACTTCAGTTGGGTCATCTGTTTCAAATGTACTCAAATTCAACATTTGGCTAGTCAAACACTCATTTTCAGTCAATAATCTGTTTTCGAGATCAACCTGTGAGTTTGTATTCTCGGTAAATACAAAATCTGAATGTTTTCCAAGAATGTACCATCTCAGGCTAAACATTTTTTGTACACAATTATACATTTTTATTTTAGATTTAATTATTTTATGACTATTTATGTAAACTATAAATAATTAGGTAGTTATACATAATTTAGTTATATTAATGCATTCAAATTTCAGACTATATAAATACTTGCCAGTATTTGAAATCCAGAGCTGTTATACTACTGCTCGCTGAACCTGTCATGCCTTTCAGAAAACTAAATAGGTTTTCTATTATATCTTGATTCAGCCTCCTACCAATGATGTACTCCATGCCATGTTCATCTTTTAAATATTTTAGTAAGGATTTTAAAGATTTATTGCACACTGCTATTCCTATAATCATTAACAAATAATTAATAAAACAATATATGTTTATTATAAAATATAAAATTACAACCTTTTTGAAAAGGAACAAGGGTTTTTTTTCCATATACTCTCATTTCCAATATAAAAGTACTCATTTTATCTAGAAATTCATCTTGATGCTCTAAATTTATTCCATAGCTTGGAGTACCGCCATCAAACTTATGCTGAGTGTTAAAGATGTCAAACCAATTATTGAACAGCAGAATCATTTCAGAGGCCTATTTTTCAGGTAAACATATATTCATAGGTCTATTATTTGAAGCACATAAATTAAAAACCTTTCTTACATCTTTCCAATTTTGCTTATCTAAATAATTTTTTTCCCCACAATAAGCTATGGCTTTAGCAACAGTATCTGAAAATACTTGCGAAGCCAGTTTTACATTCATCCTTCCACAACCCTGTACTTCCAGATGTCTCTCAGTCAAACGATATGCTAATTTTAAGTCTCCTGAATCGATTTTCAAAAGAGTCTGTAAAATTGATTTACCTACATACTTTGAATTTGGAAGTACAAAACCACTAAAAAAAATAAATATTTATTATTTTATATTATTAAATTTTCTTTTTATTTCTCAATATTCAACTTGTCAAATAGGTGATTCCTGGCTAATTTCAAAAGATGAGGCACATCTGCAAAAACATGTATTTTATTGGAAGTAGTTGGATGTTCAAACGTTGTATTTTCAATTGAAATGTTCAAGGTCCGCCATAACCATGTTGAAGGACCCATGTCGCTTACCATAGCAATAACATTGAAATCAATTTTGTGTAACTCTTCAATTATGTTAAATAATAATTCTTTAGTCATTTTAGTATCATAATCATAAAAAATTGGCTGTTTCCAATTACTTGTAAGACCTAAATTGTTATTGAATTACATTTTATTAAATAATGAATTTAATAAGGTAATAGTAAATTGAATTATTATTTTCAGTCAAACTCAAATAATATTTGGTACCTCTAACTACAACCGTTTGTACACATTTATGTGGACCAATTACATGTTCGTTCTTTTTGTCATAACATAATCTGTTAGACACGTAAGTCTCGTCAAAACAAATTACAGTGAGTTTTTCTCTACTAGTCATAAGTGTTCTTTGAAAAATAAATATAAGTATACAACTTTTTATTAAGAACATTGATTAAACAACCTTTTTTATTTAATGGAGTTAAGTTTGTCAACAAAATATATTGTTTACCTTTTGCTTTCATTAGAGCTGAACACCTTCCAGTATTCCTAGTTCAACTTTAAAAGTTGATGCCCATCTTCTTAATTTAGATAAACCTTAAATTAAATTTTATAGTTGGTATAATGGTACCCAATAATTATTCTTTTTTATTTGTTTTTATATTTAGTAGATTTTATTATTTATTGGGAACCAATTAACTTGTGAATATTAATTTTCTTTTCCTTCTTAAAAAATCTTTCCCATATTATAAATTAAGTATAAACTAACCTGGTAACGGATAATTCTTTTTATTTCTTAAATATCGGTAGGCTTTAGGGGATATACTGCGCAAAGTGATTGCTGAGGAAATATCTTCAGGCAACCACTTGTAGACTTTTTTAGTTGGATGAAGAATTTGACTGATTTGGGTCGGACTGAATATTTTGTTTAACAAATAATTGAAACGAGTTTCAAATCTTTGATTTTCCAAATCAACAAAATTTTTATAGTATTCATTTTGAGCACTTAATCCTTTAACGATATTTTGAAGTCTACCTAGTAGTTTCAATTACAAGATCTTCTTTATCCTTCTTACAATTGTCAAAATCATTTTTCAATCTATAAGTATGGTGTTATGCTCAAAATTCAAATAAATAATATTTAGGAATTAATAAAAAACAATTAACATTTATTTTGTCATCATGCATAACAATGAATAAACAATAAATTCTAGTAGTAACAAAAATACAATAATACTAAACCAACAAACAATATAGTTTGTTATAAAAAAGAAAAACATGAATAAAGTAAGATTTAAAATACAAGTTGAAGTGCACATTTGTAAATTATTTTACATGAGTACATGTTAGTTAAGTAATAAGGTAATAATGTATTTAATTATAAATATCTAAACAAAATAATTATAATCTATACATTTAAAATAATAATTATAGTTTATACATTTGTCACAAATATTTAAAAAAAAATTGCAAAATATAATATTTCAATATCAAATACAGTTTCTTGGTTCATCAGGTTATTATATAAACTACACTCCCGCATGAACTAAGAAGAAGTATTTATATTGACATAAACTTTTAGGATTTTCAAATGGTTATCTTCCTAAGTCACCGATCTACTATGGGTTACAACTCGTCATGCAAAACACAAAAGCAAAATATATAAAATATAAAATTATTATAGTCACAGAAGAAATACAAAAATTATATTTTGAAGATTTAATTATTTACTTTTGATACAAGCAAGAACCATTATCTTCTTCTGAAAGAACTTGTACCCCAAAATTTGTGTCAGATTCCAGAGCATCAAAAAGACTAATTTTACAAGTTCTTTTTACTGCTGGTTCAATACTGTAAAAAAAATGTACAGTAAACTATGACAGAGTATACAAATCAGACATTATTATAATTTATTAGTTTAGCTATTTCAACAAAATAACAGAAAATGGGTTTATAGATACCTGGTTGATTCATCAGCTAAATTTGTAACCAAAAATGATCCAGACGGTGTACAAATTTTTGGTGATTGATTAAACGAATTATTTTGACCATGCATACATGTTTCAAGACATTCACAACTACAACAGTAAATAAATAACATTTTTCTATTCGTATTAAACCAACTTCAATATCTGAAATAGATGGGACTTCAACCTTAAAGGTACTGCATCATGTTTTATGTTTTGTGCCCTTGTTTTGTTCTCGTATGAACTTGGTGAAAAATGTAATGAACATACTGCAGCTAAAATAAAACTCTTCAAACATTAAATTGTTAATTCTAACATCTAAACTGACTTATTACGTCTTATGATTCATTGAAGAGTATTTTAGTATTACAGCGTTAATAGATACATTTTTTTATTGGTTTGCTTGTTTATATAATTGTGTGTATTGTTATTACTTATTACATACCCGTTTCAAAATTAATATTCATTGTTTCGTTTGAACCCTTTTGGATTGGTTCAAACCATAGAGCCCTCATATGTGAGTCCTTAGGGAATCTATAAATGTGAACATTAGTATTGCTACTTTTAATTTTTTTGCTGCCACTATAGCATCCAACAAATGCACAAACTGGCATAATGACAAAGTCAAGAACAACAATTTACAAATAAAAACAACAGTGAAAAATTAAAATTTACCAAATACATATAAAAAAAATATTATTTTATATTTTTATCATTAATTTATCAAAGCATTATACAATCAAAAACTCATAAAAGGCGCGTTAAATATAAGCCAATCAAATGACGAGGATGACTCCCACCCTATTCTGCGTAGACTGAACGAAATTTAGTTTGTTGTGATCATACCTTGTTATTTCGTCATGCGTATGTCTACACTCTACGAGTCTACGGTCACTAACACTCCAACCGTATGCTAAGAAGGTACTCTGTTAGCTCCTTGTTTTTGAGAATAGTTTGTTATTGAAATTGTGATTTTTTTTTAAACTTTTAATACCTATAATGGATCAATTACCTGACGTCACTCAATCTCCAGCAAAACGCAATCCGAGAGGAAAGGTAAGTCAATTTTGTTAAAATAAATAAATAAATGTTAGTATTAACTATTGGTAGGTACCAATTACACAGTGTTTATATTACACGTGCACGTTCTATTTGACGTGTATACAAGCTATGAATGTTCACTAAAATAGTGAACGCGTTCATTTTATTAGAAAATGAACGTGAATGTGAACGAATTCATTATTTTAGTGAACGTTCCAAACACTGGTGAGTGGTGGTATTTTATGTTAATTTAATTTTTACATACATGTTGGACGTTGGTACACTATATAAAAACAGGTCCCCACCAATAAAATTAGTTGGGGAACATAAAACACAAAAATTAAATTAACCATTACAAAATCATTAGAGAATAATATTTTTGAGGGAATGTCATATCGATTTGTTTAAGTATTGTCTCAAAGCAATTTAAATGTCATTTAAGTTTGCAATTTTTTTATTATGAAAATCGAATACGAAGTAAAATAATAATAATACATAAAACCGATATGTTATACACTCAAAGGCTCAAAAATATTATCCACTATACATTTTGTAATAGGTGATTTTATTATAAAATTATTCAGAACCAATAAAAAAAATTCAGCGTAAATGCGTTTTTCTATAGATGTCTATAAAATTGTATTTTTTGGGTAAAAAAGCCTAAAAATTTAATACAAGACTCCTAATATATTGTTACAATGATAAATGAAAAATATTAAAAATCCGTAGTCACGGTTTTTATTATGATCATTTAAAGTTTAAATATTAACAAAATACGTAAAAATCACGAAAATGTGCAAATTATTTTGAGTTAGAAATTGATCAAAAAATAAATTAATATTTTATTAATATTAGAATTTTCTATAAACCATTTTTTTTACATTATTAGCATTTTGACTAAACAAAAATAATTATATTGACATTAAAGGACCATACAACACAAAAATCTTATATTTTTTTTTTGCCTATTATTATTATTACGAATTTGCATAAACAAAAAATGTAAATAAAAGTTGTCAACGGTGATTCGTTCTATAGTTACAGCGTTAAGCCGTGTGTTTTTATCCGGGAAAATAGACGCATTATCGGTTATCAAACTGTTCAACTGTTATTATTATTTTATTAGTGAAAACATTTTTATTTATACATAGAACCACAGTCTTAGAAGATATAGCATGGACTAATCGTATAATTATCTTAATTCGTATTCCGTGGTGGTGGTATCTATCTAGTATCTACTTATTCTTATAAATCTAAATTAATTTGTGATTCTGTTGATTTATTATCGCTTTTGATGAACATACGTCTTGAATATTTTTTTCAATATCATTATTTTGTTTCATTTTCAAATATACTCTTGCTCGTGGTAAGTACCAACCAATATCAAAATAATATAATTGTGTAGAAATATATTTTATTTTATTCTAGTCCTACTTTAGCAGTTAGTAAATTTGATGTCAGTTGACAGTTCTATTATTTATTTGTTTATTCCTCCTTATAGACTTGGCAGTTAACGAGGTTTTATTTTATTTAGCATAATATACCATATCATAATATTTTTTAATAATTATAATGAAGTTATTATTATTTCATATATTTTTATTATATTATTGAAGCTACAATTTTACGGGATACCTTCATTATAATTTTTCATAAAAAGTTTTATTTTATAATTTTATTATTAAAATTAAAATTTTACAATTTAGATGGTTTTTATACTAGGATTATTTACGCAATTTTTCTTATGTTTTTTGGTACCGGACATAAAATTTAAAAATTAATGATTAATATTTCGTTTATTTTGATTGCTATTCAAGTTTTATGCTTATTGCTATAGCTTATAACAAAATATTTTTTTCTGTGAATAAGCTTTGAATTTTCATTTAACTTTAGATTGTGAAAATGACGCTGTGCTCTGTTTTTAATTGTAATGAAAGAAGTGAAAAGCAATCGTCATCTGAAGTTCATTTTCATGTGTTTCCATGTCGTTCAAAATCACCTACTAGGTTTCGAAGTTGGGTCAATTATTGTAAACGAAAAAACTTTAACCCCGGTAATGGCGCCAGAATTTGTTCAAAGCATTTTAAGTCTGAAGACTATAACCAGTCAGATTTATTACGACAACAATTAATGCCCAATATAAAAGTCAAAGTAAAACTTAACACAAATGCTGTTCCTACGGTTCCTCAAAATATACCCTGCTCTACTTCAAATTCTTCAAATTTATCCGAACGAGAAAAAAGAAAAAGAAAAAAGAAAAAAAAGAAATTATATCTTCTATAATGACAAGTACACCAAAAAAGTTAAAGCCCTCATTTAGGTCTTTTGAAAATAGTGAATGTAAATCGAGTGATGTTGATTATGACGATGATGTAGAAGGCGGTAATTTAGTGGCGATTACAAATGAATCATTTGTGGCTGGTAAACAAAACGAGATTGGTATACAATGTGAATTAGGTAGTGAAGTATTAAAAAGTCACCATGATTTATCATTAAATTTATCACTTGATGAGTTTTCAACTTCGGAGGATGAAAGTTTTGAAGTTTATGATGAGGACATCGAAGTACTTCAAACTGGAAAAAATGCCATAAGGAAATCTAAAGAAATAGAAAACGATTCGTGTTACATTGTTTTCTGGGAGTCTCTATAAATTTTATTTACACGTTGTCATTACTGTAATGCTAAAGTGGAAAATATTCATAATTATACCAAGGGAGCAATGTTGGCCGTACAAACTATATGTGAAAATAGACATATTTTCAAATGGACGTCTCAGCCATTATCTGATAAACGACTTGTAGGAAACATTTTAATGGGAGCTGCTTTAACGTTATCCGGTGTATTATTTAATCAAATGAAAACATTTTGTTCGTCTTTAAAACTTGCATTTTTTTCAAGAACAGTTTATGATAAAATCATTAACAACTATACTGCTCCTGTAGTAAAACTAATTTGGGATCAACACAGACAAAATAATATAAACGAACTAAAAATGGGTACAAGTATTTGGTTAGCTGGTGATGGTCAATTTGACTCCCCCGGTTTTTGCGCCAAATACTGCACGTACTCAGTCATGGATGTTCGAAGCTCCAAAATAATAGATTTTAAAATTACTCAAAAAGGAATGGTTCAGGGTGATTTAGAAAAAAAAGCATGGGAATTACTACTTCAAGAACTTGAAAAAAACGATGAATGTGACATCAATGTATTTTTGACAGATCGACATAAGGGAATTCGTTGTTATATTCGAACACATCATCCGAATATCGAACATGAGTTCGATGTTTGGCACTTATCAAAAAGTTTGACAAAACGACTAAAAACTCTAGAAAAAAATCATCATAGTGCTTTTATGTGGAAAACAAGTATAATAAACCACTTATGGTGGTCTGCTCAAACGTGCGATGGTAATGGAACTGTATTAGTTGAAAAATTTACATCAGTTTTGTATCACATTTCAAATATTCATCAGTGGAATGATAATGAACAGATAAAAAAATGTGAGCATGATCCACTTACCGATGAAGAAATAAAAAATAAACTCTGGATTCCAAAAAATAGTGATTCGTATTTTGCGTTAAAAAAAATTATTACTGCTAGATTTATTGAAAGATTTGCCTCATGCTAAACATTTTATTCACACTGGCCGCCTAGAGTCATACCACAACACACGTTTAAAGTACATGCCAAAACGTATACATTTGAAGTACGAAGGCATGTATATTCGATCAATAATTGCTATTTTAGATCATAACGATAATACCGATAAAAAAATAGTTGGAGATAAAATGGTTTATTCCAAACCTGTAGGACGGTATACAATAAAAAATACTTATGAAAACACGGAAGGAAATTGGAGAATAGACATTATGAACAAGGTCCATTTGATGGCAATAGAAGGCTCTTCGGGACCATTGAAACTACCAGAAAAAAATTTAATACCAAAAAATATTGTACCGACACCAAAGCCAGATATTGAAGAATTAAAATCAAAAAAGTATTCTAGGTTTAAGTAGTGTAAATTATTACAAAAATAAGTATAGTTTAATATTGTTTTGAAATATTTAAAAAAATAATACTGTGTCTAGGATTTCTCCTATTATTCATATGTAATTTTACTGTAATAACGTGAAACGGTACTTACTATGAAGTAGAATAGCCGTTTACCAAAAATATAAATACATCTGTTTTATATATATGATTAGTGCTTTATTTCTATTCAAACTTTTATATTTACAATATTCGGGGATGGAAAATGTTGCTTTCCCGTTAATCTCTTATATAATATGAAAGGAGTTTTTGTTATTGTACAATATTAGGGACGGAACAGATAATTGTATTAGGCCCGCTCAATTAAGTGGCGTCTAATCACAATCTCTGTTCGGGTCGAGCGAGGCCTAGGCAGGCGCGCTTGGGGGGACTTTCTTTTAATCAGTGTTGTCCTGAAAAGGACAATTTATTACCCAATGTCTTCCAGTTGGTTATCCAATTGGTAAGTTTTTGCCTCTGGTTGATTACTCTTCTCTGCGTCCTGTAAGGTCCCTGTCACTAGTCGATCCGCCTGACCAAACTATCTATGTCACACGAAGCTATTAATGGCGCATCGAGTATCCGCATCGGAGTTCCGGTCTAAGCCTTTCCCCGATGTCGGATATAACGAGAGGTTACCATTTAGTTAATCCCGTGGACAAAGATATATATAGGCCGATGTGTTGGAATGCCGCTGACCGTACGATCGATTTTGTGGTGATGCTCCAAGAGAGTTGCACACGGGATCGTACCGGTCGTCGTTCGTCGGTCGGGGCTCTTGAACGCCGTGGACCGGAATCGGTGTTGTCGTTGGACCGCACGATCAATTAGTGGCGATACTCTGTGGGAGTTGCACACGGGATCGTACCGGTCGTCGGTCGGGGCACTTGAACGCCGTGGACCGGAGTCGGTGTCGTCGTTGGACCGTGCGATCAATTTGTGGCGATGCTCTATGAGAGTTGCACACGGGATCGTACCGGTCGTCGTTCGTCGATCGGGGCACTTGAACGCCGTAGACCGGAATCGGTGTCGTCGTTGGACCGTACGATCAATTAGTGGCGATACTCTATGGGAGTTGCACACGGGATCGTACCGGTCGTCGGTCGGGGCACTTGAGCGCCGTAAACCGGAGTCGGTGTCGTCGTCGGACCGTACGATCAATTAGTGGCGATACTCTATGGGAGTTGCACACGGGATCGTACCGGTCGTCGGTCGGGGCACTTGAACGCCGTAGACCGGAGTCGGTGTCGTCGTCGGGGCACTTGAACGCCGTAGACCGGAGTCGGTGTCGTCGTCGGGGCACTTGAACGCCGTAGACCGGAGTCGGTGTCGTCGTCGGGGCACTTGAACGCCGTGGACCGGAGTCGGTGTCGTCGTCGGACCGTGCGATCAATTTGTGTTTTCTCTCGTGGTAGATTTGATTATATCTCCGAAGTTTTTGGGGTTACAACCACGGGGAAGGTATTGTTGTCTTCGTCTTCACTTCCCCTATCCGTAGATGTACTTTTGATGTTTATATGATGTACGGAAGTGCTTGTAATTCCTTTCTAAGTCCAAAATGTGGTGTTTTACTCTTGTTCTGTTCTGTGATTGGCTGTGCTCGTCCTACGTTGCGATTAGCTGTCGTGAATAATAATTGTTGGCTCTGTTAAGAGCCTTTTTCGTGATAAGTATATTTATGTTCTGTTACAAACGTGTGTTAAAAATTGAAGCAATAGGCTCATGCTCAAATTATTTTTTATTTCTGGTGGTTTATTCCAATGCTGTCTTACACAAGTAAAAAAAAAAATTAAAAAAAAATTTTTTTAAAAACATGCTTTTCTTAATTCTATTTAATACATGAACTTCTAAGTTGAAAATAAACTTACTTTTAAAACAATTTCTTAATGAAACTTCAAGGTTATCAAGATATTACTAAAAGTGTATCTAAAATGTATTTGTTGCAAAATTTTTAAAACTCGTGAATTACAAAAAACAAAAAGCATGTGGCACTTATGATAACTACTATGTAAAGTCACTCTACAACTGAATCATTAGATAAACTTTACGATAAGTATTTTAAAGATTATTGATCATACTTCCAATTTTGTAAGATATTCTTGACTCATAGGAGCCCCATTCTTTTCGTTTTTTGTAATTCACAAGTTTTAAAAATTTTGCAACAAATACATTTTTGATACACTTTTAGTAATATCTTGATAACATTGAAGTTTCATTAAAAAAATTGTTTTAAAAGTAAGTTTATTTTCAACTTTTTAGATCATGTATTAAGTAGAATTAAGAAAAGCATGTTTTTAAAAAAAAATTTTTTTTATTTTTTTATTTTCTACTTTTTAGTGATAACAATAAAAAATTAGAAAGTATAACTTAGCGGGTATTTCACTTAGAGACCCCGGACCGAGGGGATCTCAATTTTTAAGGCCCCAGATGAATTTCCACCATTAGGGAACCAAAGCCCCCACACCCCCCCCCCCCCACATTTTGTGTTAGCCCCGAATTGACAACGGGGTCATGTATTGTCACTGACCCTAGACCTCCATACAAAATTTGAGCCTCCTAGGTCATGTAGAAGTGATTTAAATTGAACTCGCAAGATTTGATGACAACAGAAAACATTGTGAGTTAAAGAAAAGCTTGTAAAAAAAAAAATTCGAGAGAAATTAATTTTAAGTATTTTTGTACATTACGATTTACGGTTTATTTATAGTTTTGAAGAATGTAAATTGATAAACTAACCAACTATTATTATTACAATAATATTATCCATTTCCAGTTTATTATTATTATTACTATTATTTTGTTTTAGTCTACTTTTGGATCAGTTGTTGTTCGTTATGGCGAGTGTAAAACCTTATCAATTTGAACCAGATTGTTCAAATGAGCGGGATTCAAACAATTTTACTGAAAATAATGATTTTGAAATTAACGTAGATAATCGAAGTGGTAAATTAAATTGGTGCAAATGTGGACAGTGCGTAATTATGACGACGGATCAAGAAAGCGTCTGTTGTCAAGAAAGTGAAAAAGTAAAACAAGTTAGTGGAATAGCTGGTTGTGTGACACACAATGTTTTATTCAACAAACTAGTTTTAGATAAAGATGTTTTAAATATTTCTCGTCATAAAATGATTTTAAAGTCTAAAAAAAAACAGAAAAAAAAAATTTTGTGTAAAATTGAAACACAAAATAAAGTCTGGCGATACTTGGCTTACAAACAGTTTATTTCGTGGATAAATGCATGCACAACGATTGGAAAGGGAAATAGGATAGTAATTCCATCATGTGTTATTTATAAAATAAGACAGACTTATCCAGAAGAAAATGGTGTTTATGTAGGATTTCGGCCCAACGATAAACTTCCTACCTAATTTCTGTATTTCTAATTACTCGTGTATGTACAAATATTATGTTTTTTTTTTTTTTAATACAATACTTATAATAATAATAAATCAATTTAAATTGTTAACAATGTTTGTTTACGTACTTGTTATAATAACAATAATAAGTTAATAAATAATAATGGTTAATACGTAATAAAATACATTGTTTTGTTACTCATATGAACCAGATGTTATTCGTCTTAAATAAATAATAGCATAGCATAGTATCATATCAAAAAGATAATAATTACATATTTAGAAAAATTATGTGAAAAACAAAAGTATAGGAATCAATTTACTAAGAACAGTAAGAAGACACCCGATTATAGTACGCGAGGCGAAAAGTGAGCCGCGATCGTCGCGCGCCAAGCGGCTATTTTTCGTCAGGGTTACTCCGCCTATTCTTACTGTTTTCCCGCCTATAAAGTAATTTCAAACGACGTAATGTAGATTTTTTTAATAAATTATGTCGAATGACTAACCAAACCTTAACAAAATATTGTGGTATGCAACAGCTGCAGCACTACCCCCTACTGCTAAAAGAAAATAAATTGGTCTCCAAAATACAATCAATTGTACAATAAATTACCACCTGCCGTTTTTAAAATGCGCGCCAGCTGTTTCCATTGCACACAAACGTAGAACCCCTGAAACCAGAAAAAATGACCGCTTGACGCGCAACGATCGCGGCTCACTTTTCGCCTCGCGTACTATAGTAACAGGCACGCGTGTACACGTTGCCGCCGCGAGTAGGATCTTATGACGTCACGCGTGATTTTAAAGACTTCGTAACTCGAAAACTATTTAACGCAGAAAAATATTATTGGTACCATTTTTTTAGTCAGATTTTTTGTGATTTTTAAAATAAAAGTCAATTTTGAGTGTTTTATGGTCCTTTAATATAAAAAAGGTGGGTAAGTAGATGTCGCTCTGCTGTACAGTAGGTTACAAGTGGGTCACTGTATAATGGATGGTATTAAATTTGAATTCAATGATATAATATCATTGTATAAGAAAAACGATTCTGAGCGAAGACGGTCAGTCAGCCTATGATATATTTATATAACTAAGTATATTTGATGATATTATTGTGATTTATATTTAACCTATTTACGTGGAACCTTGTTTTAAATTTTTAATCCTTAGCTATAAAAATTGAACATTTTATGCATTTTTATACATTTTTATCATTTAAAAAGAAAAATTTTTATGAATTCTTAACTCAAAATAATTTGCTAATTTTCGTGTTTTTTCCATATTTTGTCAAAATTTGAACTTTAAACGCTTATAAAAAAAATTGTGACTCAGGATTTTTAATATTTTTCATCTGCCTCTGAAACAATATATTAGGAGCTTTGTATTAAATTTTCAAGCATTTGTACCCAACAAATAAATTTTAATTGACATTTATAGAAACAAAAACTAAAAAAAATCGAAAATTGCTTATGTCCGCATACAGTTCAAAACAAATCAAAATATTTTGAAAATGTCATCTTGTATAGAAAATGCTCATATAAACAACCAGTTAAAATTTCATGTATCTACTATCATTCACTTTAAAGTTACATCCAACACCAAATTTGATTTTGTCGGAAAACCGATTTTGCGTAAAAATTCCCGTTTTCCTTAATTTTTATGTTGTTTTACCCGGCGCTTTTGAAAACTACTGGGAAATTTTTACTTTTGACCCCCCAAAGTACCAACTAGATTCACTTTCCTATCAGAAAAGATACTGTTGAAGAAAATCCAAGCATTTTTACTGTCCTAAAACGTGATGACAGACACAAAAAAAAAAAAATAAAAATAAAAAATAAAAAAATAAACACACATCATTGTAAAATCAATACATTTAGCGCTTCGCTCAGAATCTAAAAAAAATTGAAAATGTTATCATTTACTTATAGAAAATAATTGAAAATTGTATAATTGACTATATAGCCAATTCAATTGAAATTGACTCGATTTATTATAATTTCTCTATACCTATTGCTTAATCGATGATAACATTGTATTCAAAATTTTTATTTTATATTCTGAGTGGAACGATGAATGTATTGATTTTACAATGATGTGTGTTTTTTTATTTTATTTTTTTATTTTTGTGTCTGTCACCACGGTTTGGGGCAGTAAAACTGCTTCGATTTTCTTCAACAGTATCTTGTTAAGATCAACATCCACTTACCCACTTTTTTTTCAGTTTGTTTCTTCAAGTCAAAGATTAATGATCATCAATGCGTATAAAGCGAAAATGATTGAAAATCCTGAATACAAAATGCTTCATCTAAAAAAAATACTTGCTGCACAACTTGGAATCGGACAGTCAACAATTTATAACACGGTATTGGAGTACCAAAGAAATAAAACCGTTTCTTCGCCAAATAAAACTAAAAATAAGGTCAAAATATATGACAAAGTAGATGAATTTGACAAATATGCCATTAGGAGAAAAGTTCATCATTTTTGGCACAATCGTGAAATGCCTACGTTAAACAAGGTTCTAGTAGCAGTCAATGAAGAAGCCGATCTACCAAATATTTCTCGATCATCATTGCATCGATTGTTGAAATCAATGGATTTTGTATTCACTAAGCGAGGTCGTAATACTGCTTTGCTTGAAAGAGAAGATATTATTCTGTGGCGGAGAAACTATTTAAGAGACATCAAGCGATATCGCGAAGAAGGTCGACCAATTTACTACTTGGACGAAACATGGGTGAACGCCGGAGATGTCAATAGTAAAATATGGGTTGATAAGAGCGTTTTAACAGCTAGAATGGCTTCGTCTGCGGGACTTTCAACTGGCAAGGGAAAACGCTTAATTGTTTGTCACAAGATGGATTTGTACACGGAGGACTTTTGAGCTTTGAGTAAAAAAAAAATACTCGAGACTATCACGATGAGATGAACGGAGACTCTTTTCGTGATTGGTTGCAAGGTGTTTTGCCCGGACTTAAAGAAAACGCTGTTATCGTGATGGACAACGCTCCTTACCACTCGGTAAAAACGGAGAAATGCCCAACAACAAGCTGGAGAAAAGCTAACATAATTGAGTGGCTCTAAAACAAAGGAGAGGTAGTCGACAAAACAATGAACATTTTAGAATTGTTAGAGGTTGTCAAGAAAATCAAACCATTGTACAATAAGTATGTTATCGATGAGATGGTCAAAGCTAATAATAAAATTGTCCTCAGATTACCTCCTTACCACTGTGAGCTTAACCCTATTGAGCTTGCATGGGCTGCAGTGAAAAGATATGTGAGAGACAACAACAAAACATTTAAACTACCAGATATCAAAAAATTACTTGAAGAAGGGGTGAACAAAATTGATGGTGATATGTGGAAAAATTTTATTCGACACGTGAAAAAGGAGGAAGAAAAAGCTTGGGAATTGGATAACGTGGTCGATGACGTTATGACTGCAGAGAACCAACCATGCGTTCTAACGTAGCAATAGCGAAAACGACACGGATGAAAAATCAGACGACGATGAAGACTTTAGATATTTATCAGACAATTCAGACACCGATTAAATTATATTTAAAATATGAACTTAAAAAATAATTTGTCCATAACTATTTATGACTAAAAAATATTTTTTTTTTATTGTTAGGTATGATTTATTTTTATTCTATATTATTTTTGTATTTATCTAATAGTATTTTATAGTCAAAATTATGTATGACGTGATTAAAATGTATTTAATTTTGATCAATATTTTGTATTTAAGATGATAAGTTGATTGATTTATTAATGTTTTTAGTCAAAATAAAATGTACATTTCATGAACTTTTTTTATGTTTATAATATTATGATTATTATATTATACTTAACAAATTAATTTCGATAAAAAATAATAATGTCAGCATTCCGAGATAATTATTAATTTATATGAAATACAGTTGCAAACCACAAGCGTAGCGTACTTGCGCCGTCGGGCGACTGCCGACAGGTCACAGCCCACAGGTGACTGGTGTATGCGCACTGCGCGCGTGAACTTTGAAAGAAGGGGTATCGGTTGTTTCCAACTCACGACTTCGGCCTCGGGCGTGGTCGCAGTGTTCGTATGGACGCTTGGAAGGGGAAATTGGGGTTCAGCGTCGCTGAAGCCGTCAGTCGTGATGCGCGAAAAGTGATTATTCTCTCGTGGGACAGACTATATACCGTATTTCTGTGAACAACCGTTAATGACCAATCTGGCCTTAAATTTATCGATATTACCGTCACTTTTATATTTGGTTTTGAAAACCCATGCGTTACGTAATGCAACCTTGAGGCAAATTAACTAGTGACCAATTGTTGTTTTTGTGTAGTGACGTAATTTCATCACTCATAGCATGCTCCCACTCGTTTTTCTGTGGGCCAGCGATCGCTTCATCACGATTTAGTGGTTCAACGAGATTAGCGACGAACGACGACATATTATACCTGATCGGCGCTTTTAATGTATTTCGATCACGTAGCACCATGCCACTCCTGTTGTTCGAAATTGTATTTGTTTTCGAATAATACACACGATAACCTTTCGTGTTATCCGAATAGCCAACAATTATTCCTTTTTCACTTTTAGGGTCACACTTTTTACGTTTTTGTTTTGGTATGTGTGTATATACTACAGTACCAAAAACTCGTAAGTGCTTAATGTCTGGCATTACCTTATAATATAACTCGTATGGTGAGTTATTTTTAACTGAACTGGTTCCTGTTCGATTAAGAGTGTAAACAGCCGTGTTTACCGCCTCCGCAAAAAGTGATACATCCAAATTTTTCGCACAAATCATTGTCCTCGCTGACTCTACTACTGTACGATTTTCCCGTTCCACTTTTCCATTTTGCTGTGGTGTGTAGGGAACTGTTAACTGATGTCGAATCCCGTGTTTTTGCAAAATACCCGTAATTTCTTTATTTACGAATTCTAATCCATAATCTAAATATTTTGACCTTAGAACCTGTTTCTGTTTCAACACTTTTTATGAACGTCTCAAAAAT